GGGATCTTCAAGAGGAGGTTAGATAGGCATCTGGCTGGGGTCATCTGAACCCAGAACTCTTTCCTGCCTATGCAGGGGGTCGGACTCGATGATCTATTCAGGTCCCTTCCGACCCTAACATCTATGAATCTATGAATCTATGGTATCCTTCAGTAGGACTGAACTATCATTTCCTGTCCTGGGAATATCCTGAACTACCACAAGGTATTCCCAGGGAATGCTGTGTTGCCAGAGATACAATCAAAATCCTGATTACTTGTGTCATCCAGTATTCCAGGAACTGGGGTGTTTGCTTTGGTGTCCTGGCCAGACCTGCATTCTGGAAGCTTCTCAGTTCTTAGGTGAATTGGCTGAAGTGTCCTTTCTTTTCTGGCCTAAATCATTATATTGGGGTGGTGACAAAGAGACATTGCATCACACCCCACAGCTGGCTACATTTCTGTAATGGGTGAAGGGGTAGTGCCATCTGTAAAGAGCACTGGGATCCTTTCGGATGAAAGCTGCTCTTCAAGCCCTGGACCCCACAGCCTGATGGTTTCTGTGTTTCTAGATAACCTGTGGAGTGACCAGAACCTGGAGACAGATCCTGATCTTCCCCCAGGATGGAGGAAAATTCGCGACTCCTCTGGCACTTACTATTGGCATGTGCCCACGGGCACCACACAGTGGCAACATCCATCGTGCAACTCTGGTCTGGGAGGAAGCCTGGGGCCTGGTGGCGATGCTACATTACAGGAAATGGTATGGAATCCCCAGAGGGCATCAACTTATATCTTAACACTGGCCATTCCATGCTAAATAAATGAAATTAGACCCCTCAGCTCCCTTCTGCCTTGGCAGACCTGATAGCAAGGGCTTATCAGGAGCTTTGTCTGGGGCCCTAAAGCTACCACTTGGATTTCATGGAAAAACAAGTTCTGTGTAGCTACTGATGCCATTCTCATGAATCTCTTCACTTCTCTTTCTGCTCAGGATCTCCAGGCAGCCACAGTAAAGCACTTGTCTAAGGAGATGCCCATTCCCAGTCCAATGGCATCATTGCCCAGAAGGTAGGCCTGACCTCATGGTTCCTTTGCTAAGTAACCTAGTCCAGTTAAGTAACCTGCATTCCATTATCTGGGGTGGTCTAAGAGACCTTTCATGTGTGCTCATGGCAGTGATGACTATAATGGGTGTAGCTAAAGGGGACCTTTGCCAGGCTGGACTGGGAGCATATGACTCAGAGGTGTCCATGCTGTGTTGCATAGCTGGCTTGAGGTGGCGGGGGGAGTTACTTGCCTCAGCATCTGTGCGGTGCTGCATGAACCAGGACACAGGGCTGGGCAGACAACTGGCCTTGATTTTTGGATGAGAGCAGAATGGCTTTCCCTGATCCCAGGCATAAGGGGATAGATAGCAGAGTGTTTGTCCTTGTTTCTTGCTAGGCAGACAGAGAACTTACCTTGATTTCTGGATGGGGGCCAGAGGATGCTCCCTGGATCTAAGACAGTGATTCCCAGGGCTTCTGCATCAGGGAAGGAAGTTGGAACTGTGTGCTGCAGGTAGATCTTTGGATCTGAGCAAGCCAGCAGCAGGACATGCTTGTAGCTGACTCCCATTCTGAGAGCAGGGCTATAGCTAGGGGTCTCAGAGCCCTGCTTACTGGTGCTGCTCAGCTATCAGAACAACTGGTCACAACACATGCCTTATTCAGTCTGGAATTGGTCCAACCACCAGGGGACCTGGACTGGTTCTCCTAGGATGAGATGGCCCAACTGGAAGTGAGTGGCTCTCGGCTGGCTGGTGGGGAAGGAGCTGGATCTTAGTCCAGTTCCTAGTGGAGCTGGGTCCTTCCCAAGAAATCCAACCTCACTGAGCACTAGCAAGCCAAGGCTGGCCCTACATAGGGGCAGATGTATTGTTCTGTGTTGCCCATGCCCTCCTTGCCCTGGGAAGAAGCAGAAACCCTCAGCCTCTGGAGCTTCCCCCAGAACCTGCCAGGAGCCACCTTGTGCCTTATTCACTGCAGTGGCTGAGCCTTTGTTTTCCATTGCAGAACCTCACTGGCCTGGCACAGGGAGGAGTTTCACAGCAGCAGTATGGAGCCAGGCTCTAAGGTACTGTTGGGAGTAGGGGGGAGTGGGCCATGCAAGAGTAATTTCATGCCACCCTGGCTGAGGGACCACTCACTAGGGCTTGTCTAACAGAGAGGTTTTCCATGACTTGCTCTATGGCACTTGGTGTAGTTAGCCTGGCACCATACATCAGCTGTAGGTCACTTTCTGAGGCACAGGCCCACACCATGGGCACAAGGCAGCCCCCTCACACTGCCTTTTCACCTGCTTGTCTATGTATCAATGCCCAGTGTAGTCTTCCAGCTCCCCTGCCTGATGTGAGAGAGCCTTGAGGACCCTGAATTCTCATCCATGTGCTCTGCTACTCCCATTAGCATAGGAGTAGGGCTCTTAGCTGGGGTAGCTGGGGCACTAGGCACAGTGCTTAGACCCCTGGGAAGCTGGCAAGGTAGAGGACATTGTTTCTATTAGCCCTGTGCCCAGACTTGGCCTTTGCTCTGACAGGCTTAGTGAAACTGTGTGGAGTGGGTGGGGAGTCCGGGTCACTGCTGAGTGTGACCTCCCTTATATGTCTCCCTTTCTCAGTGCTTTGCTGTGCGTTCCCTGGGCTGGGTGGAGATCCCAGAGGAGGACTTGGCCCCTGGCAAGAGCAGCATTGCAGTGAACAACTGCATCCAGCAGCTTTCACAGAGCAAATGTGAGAGTTTGGACCCTGCAGGCAGCTGGGGTGAGGTAAGTCTCTCTTGTCTGGTCCCTGTGGGAAATGTGGCTCTGTTTGTAAGAGTGGGTGTGTTGGCAGTAGAAACTCTGCCCCTAGATGGAAAAGCCCTGGGCACAGGGTGCCACTTGCTTGTCAGCCCCTTCCCCCACTCCCCCACCTATCCTTCTTGGTCACATTCAGGTGTGCACCACTGGACACAAGCAGGCCTTGCAGATCACCAGCCATTCCTGACCAGACCATCCTGGGGGCACCAGATGGTGCTTGGTGGTGGTGGAAAGGGCTTCCCACCCCAGCTTCCTTTAGTACAACTTCTATCTGAGCAAGGTGGGAAGGGGGAGCAGGGTAGGCAAGAAAGGGAGGCCTCAGTGCTGAGTGCTCCTGCTCACTCTTTGCAGGGCCAGAACATGGTGATGATCCTGAAGAAGGACACAATGAGCTTGGTGGACCCTCTGGACCACAGCCTGATCCACTGCCAGCCCATCATCAATATCCGTGTCTGGGGGGTGGGCTGCAACAATGGCAGGTGAGAGGCTGAGGTGAGCAGGAGGCTGCAGGAGCTTATCTCTGTGGGAGTCAGCTGTGGGAAGCCCACTTCTCAGAGTGTAGGCGCAGCTGCTCTATGTCCTGTAATGCAGCCTCTTAGGGCATTTGAAACCATCCTCTTATATCTGCAGAGCCGGCCTTAGGGGTAGTCGATGTGGGTGACTTCCCAGGGCAGTGGTCAGGGGGGCACCAAACACACACACACATGCACACACACATATGTGTGAGCCACTCATGCTCACAGCAGAGCTCTCCCCTGCCCACTCTGGCTGATCTCTGCCCCAGGCAGGAGAAGCAGTGCCCAGCCCAGCCCACCTCCCCCTCCCTGCCCTTTGCCTCTAGCTGCTGCTGAGGAGTAACCAGGCTGGGCACATGCAGGTGAGGTGGTGCCTGCTCCAGTCCACCCACCTTGCTCTGTCTTGAAGTAAGGCTGGAGCCTGAGCAAAGGGCAGAATGGGGCCAGAGGGCCCAGAGCCCATAGAGGGGCAGAGAGTGGGGCCAGAGGGCTAAGTGTGGGGCCAAAGGGCCCAAGCCCAGAGAGAGGGCAGTCTGTTAGCAGGGCTAGAGAGCCCAGAGGTCTGGAGCCCAGGAGTGGTGAGTGTTAGCAGGGCTAAGTGAGCCCAAAGGTCTCACTGACTCAGGAGTGGGGCCAGGGTCCCAGAGAGAGGCCAAGGGGATAGATAGGAAGTACTAAGTAGGTCTCACCTGGCCAAGTCTCACCTGGCCTCGGAGTGGAGCCAGAGCCTTGGAATAGATAAACCAAAGACCGGGGGGGGGGGCAAGGGAGCCCATAGCCCAGGAGAGGTGAGGACTAGGGCTGGAAGCCTGTAGTCCAAGAAGGGCATGTGTGCACATCATCTGCAAGGCATGGGAGTGGATATTAGGGAGGATGGAGCCCATGTAATTGGCAAGATCAGGCTTGGGAAGCCCTGGGGCAGCTTCCCTTTATCTAGATGCTAGATACATCAAGGCGTGGTGGGTAAATGAAAGGGCAACTGACCAAAGAAGGTGAAGTGGATAAGGGATGAGGGGGACCCCAGGAGTTTCATGGCCACCCTTGGAGATGAACCCTGTTATAACCAGCCTTTGCCCATAGCCATTGCTGGTTCTTTATTCTAGGCCAGTAATTCTCAACCAGGGTGCCACAGTAGCCTTTGGTGCTATGAGAACTTTTTAAGGGTGTACTGATAGGTGCAAACACGTATACATGATTCACAAGGTAAACCCAGAAATCTCAAATAGGAATCAATAGAGTCAAAAACATTCTGACCCGCTGTGGGCCTTCTGAGTTCTTTGTAATAGAAGAATTGCTCTATTTTTTTTCCATTGAAAAGAAACAAGTGAAAGGGAAGAGCTGACACTTTCAGAGGGGCCCTTAAGTCTAAAGGGTTCAGAACCATTGTTCTAGGCCAGGGGGTGGGCAAAATACAGCCCATGAGCTGGATCTGGTCCATCAGACAATTTCATTCAGCCTGCAGGCAGGCGCCCACCAATTAAATGAAATCGGCAGGGCCGCAGCTGCCCTTGCTGCGCTCCGCATGGGGCTGAGCCCAGTCCACTCCTGCCAGGCCAGTGCACTACGCTCCTACCTTTGCCTGTGGGAAGTCCCTAGCCCCCACCCTGGCCCCCGCCCACATACCCATCTTCTGGGTGGGGCTGCTGCTACCACCCCAGGGAACTGCTGGAGGCCAGGGGGGCCAAGTGGCTCCTCCTCCTGTTCCTGCTGCAGCACTCTGGGCAGCAGATAGGGAAGCGGGGGTGGGTAGGGGAAAGCTGCAGCTGGGTGGGAGCTCAGGGCCAGCAGCCAGGCTGGCAGGAGTGCAGAGCACAAGGCTGGGGCCAATGGAAGTGCGGGCCCCACACTGGAGCCTAACTCCATTGTATGGGGTTCCCTGTGACTCACATGCAGCTCCTGGGTCTCAGCTGGAAGCCATGCACAATGGAGTCAGTGGCCTCTCCCTGCTCCCTCCCACCACACACAGCTCCCGGGACTTGGCCAGGGCAGCAGGGAGCTGGGCTGAACCGGCTTGGGTCCATTACACAGGGCTCCCTGCTGCTCCTGGCCGAGTCCTGGGAGCTGCATGTGAGCCGCAATACAGCAGTGCACAATGGAGCCAGGCCAGCCTGGCCCTACTTCCTGCCACCACGTGCAACTCCTGGGGGCCTCTGCCTGCTGTGGGCCATGAGCACCCCACGGACCTGTGCCTGCTACTGCTTCCCCCAGTGGCAGGGGCTCTGTGCCATGGGGAGGTATTGGAGGGTCCACACACACACAGCCCACACCCACGCACCTCAAAGCATCCCCCCACATGCACCCCACAAACCCCACACACACGCCTACACACAGAAACGCACCCCTCAACCACAGCCCACACACTCCCCTACACCCCCCCCCCCCCCACCCCCCCCCCCCCACAATATACAAGAGTAAGATTTTATTTTGAGCTATTATGCAATTGTCTCTATGTACACTATGCAAACACACACAAATCAGGACAAAAATATTTTTTGAAATAAAATTAAAATACATTATAGTAGATGTTTTATTTTTAGTATATGATTTGTTTTTTTTCCGGTTCCAAGATGGTTCCAAGTTTCCGGTTTCCTCCCCCAAAAGGAGTATTTCTCGGGGCAAGGGGAGGAACTTCCAGTGGCAAAGGTCAGGGGTTAGGGGGCATGACTTCTGGTCTCAAGATAGTGACCAGGGGGTGGAGCACCTGTCAAGGGGCGGGGCTGCCCTCATGGCCCTTGATAGCTCACCAAAACTCATTAAGTGGCCCTCCAGCCAAAATAATTGCCCGTGCCTGTTCTAGTCCCTTTCTCCTGTCTCAAGGGGCTGGTTCCCAGGGTGGAGGAGGTGTTGGGATGCAGGCCCCAGCTCACTGCCACCCTGTAGCAATCTGTGCAGTAACTGCTGTCTCCATTCCTCTTTCCACATGCTGCCATGCTGGATGCAGGGACAGGTAACATGTTCTGCTTCCAGGTGAGGGATGGTACCTTGAGCCCTCTGCCTCCACCTCACCTGCCTCTTCTCTGTTTGTAGGGATTTTGCTTTTGTGGCCAGTGACAAGGATACATGTATGCTGAAGTGCCACGTCTTCCACTGCAATGTGCCTGCCAAGGCAATAGCCAAGGCCCTGCATGAGATGTGCTCCAAGGTACATGTATGAAGACCCAAGGAGACCTGAATATGTCCTGGCTCCCTCAGCCCACATGCAGACTCCCCTGAGAGCTCCCTTCCAACCTGGAGATGAGGCATCTCACACAAGCAGCATATCTGCAGTGCCTGCTTGGGGACTGTAGGAGGAAGTGAGAAAAAGAAGCTCTGAATAAACTGCAGTCAATCCTCTCATCTGAATGAGGGGCGTTTGGTACCAACTTCATTGGGTAGACAGTGGCAGGGACAATGGCAAGGGCTTTGATGGGCATCACTGGGTGGCAGGTAGAGCACAAGGCTGGGAGTCAGCAGGGACCAGATCCCAATCCATGCTCTACTGCAGACTTGTTGATTACCCTCAGAGTCCTCCCATCCAGCACCTGTGCCTTGGTCTCTACATCTATACAGGGGAGAGGACACCTGTACATTCCTCCCTCCTTCCCAAGGGGATGAGTTTTGTATCCTTTTCCTCTGGTGCTGGCTCTTCCTTACTGTCTTGCAGGGGTGCTCCTGTCAAGAGCCCAGGACCCAAGCAGAAGACAGGCAGAAGTCCCCTTTGTGATGGTGTTTCTCTCTCTCTCATAGCTTATGGCCGAGCGGGCAGTGACCAACAACAGCCTTACCCGATCTGTTACACTGGAGCCCATCTCTCCAGACAACCTGCCACTGCAAGGTACCAAGTGGTTTCCCCTGATCCCTTCCCCTGTGCAAGCTTCCGTTCCATGTGTTGTCATCAATTCCAGGTCTGACTTCCTCACCTGCATTCACTCCAACACGGCCTTGGACAGCTGTTACTGCTAGAAATCAGAAGAACCCATCTGGGACAGGTGGCCATCTTGCAAGTGGTCCATACGTTGGCCCACCCACCTGTCTAGGGCAGTCCGCTCACCTGCCTTTCCTGCCACACCTTTGATGTAACTCAGAAAAGTTTATAAGGCAGGAGGCAAACCAATTAACGGCCTGATGCCAAGGGCACAATACATGGCTCTGAACCTTCCCTTATACCATGTCCCATTCCTCAAAGATGACATCACTATATGACTCCAGCCCCACAAAGGACCTCCTTCTGTGCCCGCCTGGCATTCAGACCCAACTGAGTCCTTCCTTCTCAGGCAGTCTACTCTGCTCTTATTCTGGGTTGCCAAGCTCCCTAAGCCCTTCTCCCTCTCAGCCATGGCTCCCTCTGGGACCTTTAGCCACACAGCCCCCGGCCTCACCTCTAAGCCAGTCAGAACCCCCGGCTCCTGGCTCTGGGCATCTGTCACGATGGGCATTCTGCCCCTTCAGCCGTTCTTGTCCTGGCCTGAGCATTGACCAGTTGAGGGTTTCTCTGGTCAGGTTATTGAGTCACTTGCTCTTTCTCTGTCATACGGGTCCACCTTCTTGTGCCCCACCAAACCCAGCTCACTCAATCTCTAAGGCCAGCCCATGTACGGTCCTCCAGGAAGTTCAGGCCCACCCATGAAGACCCTACTTTACACGGCCTTCTCACACACCCTTACTGGGCCCACTACTCTGCCCCTCACTGGGGCTCCCAGCCTTACACCCCTTGGGTCTCAGGCCTGATGACATGTCTGGACCCCTTGCCTGTCCTCTCTATAGGATAACCCACCAGGTTATGGGGACTGAGCCTATATAGCACCCCATCCTCACCTTTCACTAGGGAGGCACTGGTGTGGCATTTCCTGGGGACCACCCCACCACAGGCAGCCCCACCACATCATCCAACCCCAGCAGGGTGTAGTTTTAAGTAATTCCCCAGGGCCAGGGACCTCCTCCATCCCCATAGTTACTACCCTTGACCAACAGGTGCTCTGGGAGCAGCAGCTCCAGTTGCTACCGTTATCCCTCTGGCTCCCTGCAGCAGCTGCCAGCCCGTCTCTGAGGGCCTCGGTTTATACTGAGGCTGCTCAGCCCCATTCTCCAATCCAGGATCTCTCCCACGGTCATGTGACCACCTCATTAGGCCACATCGCACCTGCTGGCTGCTCCAAAGCCTGCTCAAACCTCTTAAAGTGGCAGGCACCAAAGGTGACCTGCCACACCAACCCAGAATATTTCTTACTCTCCGTCTTGTGGAAAACTGGAAGTGGCCCTGCTTTCCTGCCAAGGATGTGCTAGGGGGCCTTAGACCAATGATTGAGGATACAGTCTGATACCTCTCAACCCTTCAGTGCTAGAAACTGCTGCCTAAAACTTAGGGAGAGCCAAGAAACCCCTTCTCAAGGGCATAGAGGACTCTTTGCTAGCCCTGGGACATCTGATTGGAAACTGATGATGCCTTGATTTTAAACAAGAGGCTTGAAATCTGTCTTAGAGTAAACCTGTCTCCTCAACTAATGCCTGCTCAGTCAGACTCCTAGCAGCCTGGCTTTGTAAAGGGGAACCAAAGAGCCCCAACTTACATGCAGAAGTAAAGTGCCCACCCTACACATGCTGCAGCCTGTCCTCAGCTACTCTGAGAGCCTGTGGGACCATCGTGGAGGCATGATTTGTACTGGAGTGCCTTTAAATAGTGTTGTTTATTAGTGAAATCTTGAAAACAAACCCACATGCAAAGGAACAATCCAAGGGCTGGGGAGTGCCCAAGGCTCCCCTTGGGAGGGGTGTTGTGACAATAGAATTGCTTGCCTCCCACTCACACTTTCCTGTGAATCTCAAAGCAAAATGTCTGTTGCTAGATGAGACAATCCAAATTCCCAGGGCCCAGGCACCTGTGCTGCAGAGCCTGCTCTAGCACATGCAGCCCTTGGTTCTCTGTTGGCACTGGGCAGTGTAATGCCAACCCCTTCCCATTGGCTGGATTCTGAATGTGCCCTCCTTGGCAAAGACCTTTGCTTTGTTCAATGTACTGAGAAGCTGGAGAAATTATTCCACCTTTCTCATTGTCTTTGGCAGTGGATATTCTGGACGCTGTGAGGCAGTCTATCCAGAAGTATGATGCCCTCTACATTGGCAGCTTACCTGTGTCCAAAGCAATGGGTAAGTAACTGAGATGGTGAACCTCTGGCTGCACTGTCATTCTGTTATACTGCTTGGGCAGCTGGGCTTGGTTCCTTTGTGCTCCATGGGTGGCAGCTGTGCCAAATTAGCTCCCCCTGCAAAGCATCAAGGGAAACATACCTAGAGGGAACAAAATTAAATCTGCCCTGACTGGGCTTTCCAAGCTGCAGTACTTGACTAGGAACTACTGTCTCTCCCCTGTTGAGAACCTGGCACAGGCAGGGCACTGCAGGCTTCCCAGCCTCAGGCACCCACCTGCCAGTGTATCTCAGTCCTACTCTGGAGGGGGTGCAGGAAGAAATCTACCTGTATGGCCCAGTCACTGCTACTGCACTTAGTGCCCATGCAACCCAGCCAGCTGGGATGAGGCACTTCACCACTCTCTTAACTTTATCTCAAGAATCCACTAAAGCACATGATTTCCTGTGTCCTCATGTCTTTTTATGCTTGTTCCCAACCAGCCCACCCAGCAGCTCAGGGGTCACTCGAGCTCCAGGGGGCAGATGCATGCCCAGATAAGAGCCTGGGAGCTGCCTGGAAATAGCTCTCCCCCAGTCTAGAGAACTATCTTAGCAACAAGTCCTTGCCTTGAGTGATGTGCTTGGCTGAGCTTCCTCACAGCATGAAGAATCCATGCGTTCTTCTGTCTCCTTCACTGAAAGAACTAGAATCCTCCCTAGGAAATGAAATGTACCCTCTGGTAACAGGAGTTTACAAGCCAGAGCTGTTCTGAAACCCCCTTCCTGAGGATCCAACAGCGTGGGCTCTGAATGTCCTGGCTTAGGCATTACTCACTGGCAAGGGCAGCGGAAGGGCAGGGAGGGGTATGCTTATGACAGCAGTGATTGGAATGGCCCTCAACTGAAGTGCCATTTTTCCAGCCTGGAATGGGAGTGTCTCACCCATGTGTCCTGGCCATGCTGCACAGCTGGTTTGGGGGCGGCTGGTTGTTACATGTCCCTGCCATCTCCACTCTCTCTTCTGTTGTGGGAAGGCCTTTAGGCAGGGCTATGGGCTGGCCTGGTGCTGTGATTGTGACTGTGCTCTGCTCTCATCTGGCGTGTTCCCCACTACTGTTGTGTCTTTACCTAGTTGTATGGATTCCTGTCAGGGACCCCAAGTTCTCAGGGTGCCTCTGCAGTTGGTCTCCCCATTGGCTCCCACAGTCGCTCTGTGCTATATCCTGTGGCTTGCATTTTCTTTAGGATTGTCTGAACTATCCTGCCAGCCTGTACCTGACACTACCCGGGCCTCTCTTTGCCCCTCTGACAGAAGCTGCCTATGGCCCTTTCTCTCCCTCCCCTTTTTCCCCCTTGTCTCTCCTGAGTTGGGGAAGGCACTCTTACCCCAGCATTTCTTGCAGGGCAGTGTGGGGCTGGCTGGATCATGTGGCTGCAGAGGAGTTTGGCCAGTAGCTGAAAACTGGCCCTGCTGGGCTGGATCTAGATTTTCTGCTTCATCCCATCCCCTTGTCTCCTCAGGGATGGATGTGCTGAATGAGGCCATTGAGAACCTGACAAACAGTCATGGCCGTGAGCAGTGGACCCCATCCCTTATCAGCGTGTCAGACTCGGTGATGAAAGTGCACCAGGCAGAGGTAACTCTCCCACTGATTCACCTTCTGGGTGCTCAGCCATGGTGCACACATAGCTCATACTGCAGCACACCAGCCAAGGGGTTCCTGAAGGACCTTTCTGCCCTGAGTATGCAGGCTGTGCTGCAGGCAGGGAGCTGTACTGCTGAAGATGGCTCCTCTTGAATGGGAGGGCAGCTGAAGTCAGCTCCATTTCAGGCACATGGAAGGGGGTCACTAATGGAACTCTGACCTGAGCTGGGTAATGGAGCTGAGTCCTCTTGACTTCTGCAGTTACACATCTGCCAGGCTGCCCATGCCAGAGGGCCTCTGCTGTGAGCTCCACAGACACTGTCACCCAAGCCATGGCATCTGGACCCATCACCCACCCAGGCCCAAGGGCACAATTGTTCTGGTAGCTATCCCATATTGAAGCTACACCTGGATCCACTAGGGCAGGGGCGGGCAATTATTTTGGGCAGAGGGCTGCTTACCGAATTTTGACAAGTCATCAAGGGCTGCATGGGTAGCCCCGCCCCTTGATAGGTGCCCCACCCCCTGGTTGCCATCTTGGGATCAGAAGTCCCCTAACCCCTGACCTTGCCACCAGAAGTCCCTCCCCTTGTCTCCCAGAAGTACTCCTTTCAGCAAGAGAGTTTGCCATCTTGGAACCAGAAAAATACCAAATTATATTCTAAAAATCAAATATGTACTACAGCGTTCATTAATTTAATTTCAAAAAATAATTTTGTCCTGATTTACATGTGTTTGTGTAGTGTACATAGAGGTGTTAGTTTAATAGCTTAAAATGAAGTCTTACTCTTGTGTATTGTGGGAGGGTGGGTATAGGTTTGTGGTTATGTGGGGTGTGGAGGAGGGTGTGGGTGCCTGTGTGGGATTTGTGGGGGTGGATAGGTGTGGAGGGTGTGGTTGTGTGGGGTGTGGGTGTGTGTGGATTTGTAGGGAGCTGTGAGTATGTGGAAGGAGGGTGGCTGGGGAAGGTTGTGGCTTACATGAAGGGGGAAGACTTGCCCACAGCCCATCCCCACATGGCAGGCAGAGCCCCTGCCAGCACTCCTGCAAGCCTGGGCTCTGCACTTTTGCTGCTCCTGACCCCAGGGCAGCAGTGCAGGGCCCATACTCCCACTCGTTGCCACTTCCCCCCATTTGCCACCACTGTCTTTCTCCTTCCACTTCCTCCCCTCCTGCCCTCCCACTGCTCTGGCACCGTGTTCCAGCTGCTTCTGCAGTCCCAGCAATGCAGCTGGGAACCAGATGGTCCCGGAGTTGCTGGCGGGCAAGCGGGGGTGGGGAGTGTGGAAATGGCTGCAGTAGGCAGGGGAAAGGGGCAGTGAGCAGGCATGCGGAGCACAGCAACAGCTGGGCAGCACAGGGTCTGGGTCAGCAGAGGTCTATGAAGCTGAGCTGGCTCCTCTTCTCTCTGCTTGAGCAGTGCAGCCCAGTTCCATACAGCCCCTGTTGGCCCAGACCCTGCACTCCTGGGCAGAAACTAATGCTTGGCAGGGAGGAAAGCCCCACCCCTCTCCCGCCAGTTTTAGCTGCATCTGCCCGGAGCCCACGTTGAGCTACACTGCAGTGTGGCTCCTTCAGCACTGCCTCTGTGCTGCCCAGTGCGGCAGTAGCGGCCATGTGGAGCAGCCACGATAGCCCGAAATGAGGAAAGCAGGGCAGCTCACAAGCAGTAGTGAAGGAGCCGCACCGCAGCCTAGCGTGGCGCGGGCTCCTGGCAGATGCAGCCAGGGGTGACTGGTGACTCCTGAGTCTGGGGGGGCACAGTTTGTGGGCGGGCCCAGGGGCGGGCCTGGGGATGGACCAAAAGCCCCATATCCATTCCTATGCTTCTGTGCTGTGGCTTAGTGCCAACATGCCGCTGGCCCATGCGGCAAGAAAACTGTGGCAAAAAAACTGCCCCACTTTTGGGGGCCAATCTCAGGGGGGGCATGTGCCTCTCCCTGCCCCGTGCTCCCCCTACCAGTCACCTGTGGACGCAGATAAAACTGCCCAGCGGCAGCGAGGGGGAGGGGCCATTTCCCCCCGCACTGAACAGCTGTTTTCTGCCCAGTTGCTGCTGCTGCTACCGCTGCTACTCAGCCCCGACAGACGAGCCCAGAGCCGGAGCAGGGCCCAGGCTCAGCAGCAGCAGCAGCACAGGACAAACTGCTGCTCAATGCAGGAGAAAAGCAGCCCCTCCCCCTCCCGCTGCCAGTGCTCCTTGGTTCAGCCACTCAGATTCCATGCAGGCCTCCGTGTGCCTGCTCTGTGCTACCACCACTGCCCCACAGAGGCAGTGGTGACATGGCAGAGACGCAGGACAGTCCTGCATGGGCTCTGGGTGGCTGCCCCAGGAAGTGATGGCCAAGGGCAGGGGGTGGGGGTGGAGGACCGCTTTTCTCCCGCACTGAACAGCAGTTTGTTCTGCGTCACTGCTGCTTAGCCCAAATGGGTGAGCACAGGGGCAGAGCTGTGCGCACTCGCCCCTGCCTATACCACGGGGCTGAGGCAGGCGGGACTGGGAATGAGCAGGTGCATGGGAGGCAGCGACAGCTGGACAGAAGCGCAGGGCCAATGCTGGTGTCCCAGGCCCTGCACTGGTGGGGGCCAGAGCAGGGCAGCAGGAGTGCAGGGTCCCAGCTGGCAGGGGCTATATGGAGCTGGGCCAGCTCCCCGCTCCCGGCTATATGGCTGGACCACAGGACTCAGCAGGAGCTGGCCCAGCCCTGAACACTGGGGCTATCGCCCATGGTCCTTCCCTGCGTCCCTGCCCCCCACCCCTTCTTACCTAAATTTCCTGCTCCTGCACAGTGGGCCAGAAACCCCTACTAGGCAGGGACTTCTGGCTGGGGGGTGGGGGCCAGGCTGGCCTTGCTGTTCAGGGTCTTGCCATGGTTTCCCCGGGGTCCTACTGCCGCTGGCTCCTGTCATCTTTGACAGGCAGCCTGGGGCAGATAAATATTCATTTTCTAAATTTTTTAGGGGCCCCATGGGCCCAATAGAATGGGAATGAGCAGGACATATCCAGCCTGCGGGCCGTATTTTGCTCACCCCTGCACTAGGGACTGGTGAACAGGGCAGACAGGTTATAGGACAGGTGATCTGCAGGAAGCACCGTCCCACCCACATTACTGCAAACACCCATACAGGCCAGTTCTAACCACAGGAAGTAAGTGGCATATTTTCTGCAACCCTGGTGTGTTTCCTTCTATATCATGGAATCACAGAAAGTTAGGTTTGGAAGGGACCTCAGCAGGTCATCTAGTCCAACCCCCTGCTCAAAGCAGGACCATCTCCAACTAGATCATCCCAGCCAAAGCTTTGTCTAGCCAGGTTTTGAAAACCTCCAAGGATGGAACTTCCACCACCTCTCTGGGTAACCTGTTTCAGTGTTTTATTTACCCTTCTAGTGAGGAAATTCTTCCTAATATCTAACCTAAACTTCCCTTGCTGCAACTTGAGACCATTGCTCCTTGTTCTGTCACAGTCTAACTCCATCCTCCTTCAAATCCCTCTTCAGGTAGTTGAAGGCTGCTATTATATCCCCCCTCAGTCTTCTCTTCTCTAGGCTAAATAAGCCCATTTCCCTCAGCCTGTCCTCATAAGTCATGTTCCCCAGCCCCCTCACCATTTTTGTTGCCCTCCTCTGGACTCTCTCCAATTTGTCCATTGGCCTACACTTGTTCCTTATGGCAACTAGCTTAACCAAATGATTTGCCTTTGCAGCCCCCTTCAGGGACCCTGCAGAGACAAAGTGAGAGGAGGGATGTAGGAGGGAACAGAGAGGAGAAAGCAAGACACAAGACCAGGGTGAGAGAGACAAATGCAAGGTGAAGGGGAGAGAGAAGGGAGCCTGAAGAGCCATGGACTTTTGCATTTGGTCCCCACAGCAGCCCAAGGAAAGGGCTGTAGGGTGGGGTTGAGGACTGTTCACCTAGGCCACCAGTGCCATAGCAGATCTAAGCCACTCATAAACGAATGCCTCTGGGCAATCCTGGTGGTGCTGGTGCCCAGCTCAGGCTGGAAGGAGCTCAGTGCTGCTAGCTCTTGGGCTTTGTGGTTGCTCTGGCATGCAGTAGAACCGATTCTGAGGGGAAAATGGGCACAGACCTCAGGCTGCCAGTGCATCTCAGAGCTCCTCAGGCACAGGCAAATCCAGAGGCCCTTCTAGAGGCAGACATTGTTGTACTAAATAGTAGTTAAGGGGAGGGGGTGAATGGAAATGAAATGATTGGTGAGACTATTCCAGTCTTAAATCCTAATTTACTGAACACACAAGCAATACCAATATTTTAAGCAAGGCTTTAAATATAACACAACTTTTAAGCAAGCCCTAGCAGTCAACATAGATATTCTTACATGAGCCTTCCAACTATGGATACAGTGAGTTCGGCTGGCCAGACATCTGTCACTGCACCAGAGGTTCAGTAGTTGTTTCTTTTCCTGTGTGTCACTCTCCCTCCAACGTCAAGAGTTTTTTTCCATGTTTATATACACTATTTATAGTTCTCTTTTGTATGTCCCAGATATGGTTATGTCATAAATATCCACCAATCATCTTCTTTTAGAGTGGTTGTTTTCCTGTCTATCCTCCCCCCTCCCCCCACTACAAGGTGGCTGGGGAAACCCCAAAACAGACCTCCCTCTCCTGCCTTCTCCCCCTTCCATCCTGAGTTAACACAGGAACTGGGAGAGGGGGGCAGAAGTAGGGGAAGAGGCTGCAGAGATGCAGCCTCTGTCCCTGGATTAGCTCCAAATTGGAGCTCAATCTCCCTCCCACGCTCTCAACCATGGACAATAAGTTGAATATGAGCCAGCATTGTGCCCTTGTTGCCAAGAAGGCTATTGGCATACTGGGCTGCATTGGTAGGTGTCTTGCCAGTAGGTCAGGGAAATTATTCCCCTCTATTCAGCACTGATGAGGCCACATCTGGAGTACTGTGTTCAGTTTTGCGCCCCCCCCATAGAAAAGATGTGGATAAATTGGAGAGAGTCCAGCAGAGGGCAACAAAAATGGTGAGTGACTGGGGGACGTGATTTATGAGCAAGGATTGAGGTCACTAGGCTTATTTAGTTTAGAGAAGAGGAGACTAAGAGGTGACTTAATAGCAGCCTTCAACTACCTTGAGGGGGCTGGGGGGTGTTGAAAGAGGATGGAGCTAGATTATTCTCAGTGATGGTAGATGACAGAACAAGGAGCAATGGTCTCAAGTTGCAGCAAGGGAAGTTTAAGTTAGATATTAGGAAGAATTTCCTCACTAGAAGGGTAATAAAACTGGAACAGGTTACCCAGAGAGGTGTTGGAGTCTCCATCCTTGGAGGTTTTCAAGACCCGGCTACACAAAGCTTTGGCTGGGATGATCTAGTTGGGTCTAGTGCTGCCGTGAGCAGGGGGTTGGACTAGGTGACCTCCTGATGTCCCTTCAAACCCTAATTTTCTATGTTTCTATAACCCAACAACTAACATCTGTTGGGTGGGGAGGATCAGTTTATCTCATGGCATTTTCTGTGAAATGCCATGAGTTAGACCCAGGAGCTGCACTTCTGTCTGTGCCCTAAGGGAAGACAGGCTGATGGTTGGGGATGGCTGGCCATGCACCCAGCCACAGAACATCTCTCAAGGTCTGGCATGGATGGACAATTGCTTGGGACTCTTCCAACTAGGCTGGACAAAGCCTGGGGTGTGGACAAAAGGAAGAGTCCTGCTTTTGCCCCCTGGTTCTCACTGAGAAGTGATGTTGAGGGGTGTCCTTTTTCCTCTCTCCCTGCTTTAGTTGAGTGACTGATCTCTTGTATGTTCCTTTGAGGCTGACGAGGAAGATGCCCACATCTGGGAATGCCAGGTCCGCTACGTGACCTTCATCGGGGTTGGGAAGGATGCCCACACCTTTGCTCTCATTGTAGATTTGGGGCAGCAGCATTTCCAGTGTACGGCTTTCTGGTGTGAGCCAGATGCTGGCACCATCTCCGAGGCCGTGCAAGCAGCATGCATGGTGAGTGTGCCCTCTCCTGACTTGCTGAGAAGCATCTATGTGCAAGGACCTCCATGGTGGTGAAAGGTTCTGGACTGAAAGGCCTAGTAACCACCTTCTGTTACCTCAGAGCTGGGATAGCTGCAAGGCAACTTCCCACAACCCCTTCAGTCTTCTTGGGACTGCTGTCAAAGTTGTCTGCAGTTTAATCAAGCCTTGGCCTTCTGGCTGCTTATCTTCCAGTCCATGCCCACTCTGTCCTGCCCTTGCAATCTAACAGGACTTCTGCCCCCACAACTGTCCACCTTGCTGTGGGAATTCAAGCAGCTTCTATGTCCTGTTATCCATTACAGTCTATGGCAATGGCTGTTCTTGGTGTCCAGCACACAGGCCCTGCCAGTGTGTCTCCAGCAGGGTGCTGGAAACAGGGAAGCTCCTTTGGGCTGGACACCAGGGAAGCTTCCCTGTTTCCAGCTTCCCTGTTTTCAGGGTGCTGGAAACAGGGAAGCTCCTTTGGGGCAGACACACTGGTGCTTCCTCCCTGTCTGGGGCCAGGAGACCATCACACCTGAGCCTTGGGGCCAGATGTTGCCTTTTGAAAGCGTTTCCCTTTCAGAACCTTGAGGGAGCTCATCATTAGAAAGCTGCTTCCATGGCGAGGTGAGAGGGGGGAGTTTAGGAGATGAACAGCCTGCTATGTTGCTCTTCTCAGACACTGGGGCACGGGATGGACCTAAAGGCTTTAGGACCCAGCCAGAACTGGGTCATCCAAGGGTGCTGGTGCACTTCCCTGATGAGACTGTGGCCCTAGGTAGGGGGTGTAGCTTGACTTGAAAAGGGGAGGGACTTAGTCTGGGTGGCTTTAGTTTGGGGCAGCTGCCAAGAGGTTTTTCATAGATTCTGAAAGGTATTTAGTAGAGGTGCACCAATACATTGGTCCGATATTGGATTGGACACCGATATAAAGACAATTGTCTGTATTGGAAGTCAGCCTAATATGGATTATAATTTGGCCGATAAATGGTTTGTGCATGTGTGCAGCTGCAGCGCAGCATGTAGGCAGCGAGCAGCATAGCCTGACAGCTTGGAGAGCTATGTGCAGCTGGTAAGTCCGTTGTGGTGGAAGGGAGAGGGGGGGGAGGGGGAAGGGGGAAGAGAAGGAGATGGAGCTGTGGCTCATCCAGAGGGCATGGGGAGGGAGGGGGGCAGGTCTCACCACTGCTACGGCCACTTGTCCAGGAGGGCATGGGGGCAGGGGGGGCATGTGTCCCCAGATCTGCATGGGGCAGGGACAGGTTGGGGCCGGGGCTGCACGGGGCTCTTCCTGGTGGGGGCTAGGCCAGGCTGTGCTCAGGGCAAGTGGTGGTGATGGGAGGGGGGCCTGGGGTAGCTAGAGCAAATTTTGAAGTGGCTGGAGCACCCCCCGCCCCCATAACCTCCTCCCAGAGCCACCACTACACACCCCAAGTGCAGCCCAGCTTAGCCCCCTGCCAGGAAGAGCCTGGTACAGTGCTGGCCCTAGCCCCAGCCTGCAGCAGCAGCCTCCCCGCCCCACACAGAATCAGGGGGAAACCCCCTGTTCTTCCTGCCCCAGCCCCAGCCCCAGCCCCAGCCCCAACCCTACTCCCTCCCACACCACAGGGGCCTTGATCTGCACCCCCACTCCCCTTCCCTTCTCCCTCCCCTTCCACCACAACAGACTTACCAGCTGGACACTGCTCTTCAAGCCACCAGGCTGGTATCAGAAATTGGATTGATATTGGCCCCAAAAATCTCTATTGGTGCACCCCTAGTATTTAGATGTCTGATTCCCATTGATTTCAATGATACTCAATTTGGTTTTAGTGGGAATAAAATACTGATGACTAGTGAAGAACTAGATCATTGTCTTTAAAAGCTCAGTGCTCTACTGATTTATCACAAACCCTGGTCTCCCACCAGAACTACTGGAGGTCTCTGCTTCTCCTTGTGTTTCCATTGGAACTCCTGGCCTTTCCCAGGAGCTCTGAGTATTCCCATCACCACACTGTGGGGAATGTACTTGAGGGTTAGGAAAAAGGCCAGTCCCTGGAAAAACATTCTAAACAGAGCGGAATACCAAAATATCTAAGAGGAGAGGCAAGACCTGTGCTAGAGCACAGTCTGACTGGGTGACTCCAAGTTGGGGGGATGAAAATGGGAGAGGGTCTTGGAAGAGTTAGGTTTAGAGGTCAGATTGGAAGGGAGAGTCTGGAAGCTGCCTTCCTCTTGCTATTTCCCAGTAAGAGCTCCAGCCCAACTATGCATAGGATGTGGGAAGTTCAGAAGAAATTTGAATACATGGGTGTGTGAGGTCTACTGGCGCAAATTAGGAAGAAGAGTAAGGTGGGACTCCTGGGTTTCATTCCCAGCTTTGGGAGGAAGTAGAGTTTTGCAGCTAGTGGAGGTGGGTGGGACTGTGAATCAGGACTTCTGGGTTCTCTCTGAGTTGGGAGAACTACCTGCAACCTGTGCCATGGTGTGTGCAGTGATTACACATGAAGTGATGGCAACAGGACACTTTTCCTTGCCAGGGCTTCCCAGGTGCTGGAAGGGCCACCGCCTCTTTGTAAAGCAGGGTGGGCAATTCTCTGAGCCCTTGCTTTGTTTACATCACAGGTGCAGTACCAGAAGTGTTTGGTGGCCTCCACCTCACGGATGAGGCCAAAGGGCGCCTCACGCTCCATGCTGAAAATGAAGAGGACAGCATCTGTTGACTCCCCAGGGTGCCCATTTTCTGCCACAGGCCATGTCCTGCAGAAAAGTGGCAGTGGCACCAGTACTCGCAAAAGAGGGGTCCTCTCTTTTTTGGAAGTGTTCCGGCAGAAGCATTCCATGCTACACACCCCGTAGACTGCAAGCTGTGGGCTGGGGAGGGTTCGTGTGGGGGGTCGGGGGTGGTAGGGACCAAGGCAGCAGCAAGGAGTCTGCTTGACTGGCCTGTGTAAATAGCATACTCAGATCTGTTGGCTCTTTCACTGTAGCAAAGACCCAACAGGCCCAAATGACAAGTCTATGGCCTGCAGGGAGAGTTCCAGCTGGTTATGGATCTCCTAAGCAGAACCCTATAGTTCCTTGCTATGTAGATGATCCCATGAGGAGCGGGGACACTGTGGGGGCACTCTGGGGAGTCGCAATAATGCAGCACATGTACGTTTTCAAGTAGGGAATGTTTCCTAATATCTGAAGCAGCAAATTTGACAGTCAAGCCCAATGCCAGCTGAGCTCTGCCCTCACAACCCAACTTGAGATTGGAGGTAGATGAGGTAGCTTGGGGGGCAGATACCCCAGTCACCTCTGCTGTCTCTTGGGTTTCACTTCTGAGCAGGAGCTCATCTTGGTTGTTAGCTCAAGGTTTCCTGTCTGCCAGAGAATGAGTGCTTAGCCTATGAACTCTACCTGCAGGGCCAAATAATGGGATTCAACTATGTAGCCCTAGATCAATGTTTCTCAATGTTTTAGGCTCAAGGCACCTCCTCCTTAGGCTGAAGACACCTCCAGAAATTTCCAGTTCTTAATTTTCACTCATTTTTACTACAGAAAAAAAATAGAGCAATTATTTTGTTGCAAAGAACTTGGAAAGACCACAGCAGGTCAGAATGTTTTTGACACTATGGATTCCTATTTGGTATCTTGGGATTTAACTTGTGAATCATGTTTGCACACTTAACAGTGCTAACATTGTGTGACACCCTTGAAAGTCTCTCAAGGCCACAGCACCCTGGTTGAGAATCACTGCCTTAGATCTATGTCAGTGGTTTTCAACCTTTTTTCATTTGTGGACCCCTAAAAAAAATTTGAATGGAGATGCAGACTCCCTTGAATTATAAGTGTGGGTATTCACATGCTTCTGATTGATCATAGTCATCTTTTGAGGACACCTCTTAGATATAGTCTGCGGACCCCTGGCTGAAAACCACTACAGACCACAGGCTGAAAACCACTGTTCTAAGTGAAATTCAGAGCAGCCTGAACATTGACACCACCACGGAGGAAAGATGCTTCCTGTGGGCTGCTTGAGTTGCTGGCTTTGGAAACAAGGCAAATCCTTTCCCTGGCAACTGAGTAAGCACCCCGTACATCATGCCCTGAAAAACGGCTGGACGTGGTGCCATCCCACTTCACTCAGTAACTAGCCAGTTAATGAGGAACTGGGTGCATCAGGGAGCCCGTAACATTTACAGCATGTAAAATGTTTTCATTCTAAACAAAATTTGTGTTTCTTTTCCTTTCTACAATGTCCAAGCCAACAGCCCTCCTGCTCTGAGGTTAACATGCCTGGATGACTGATGAGCACTGCTTAGTGAGCCCTAGCAACCTCCAGTAGCCAACTGATGCACACAGCTCTGGTGCCTATGGATGACCTGACCCTAATAGACCAGTGTGCATGGCACTGGCATCAATAACTAAGCTGACAGTTACACTGGCATGCAGAGCCCAGCACTCAGGCCTAGCCCCACAACACCAAGCCAGGGCTTGGCTCAGCAAGGTAGTGTTAGTCAGGAAAAGAAAAGCATTTACAATGTCTGAATATAAAGCTCTGGCATGGTCTCGTTGCCCTTCAGTGGACAGTCCTGTGTTAACTCTCAGTGAGGCTTGAGGTGTGCCCCGCAGCACAGCTAGTGTTGCCAAATTGTAGGAATGGAGCAGAACAGATGTCCATCCAGCTGCCATGAGCCCAGCTTGGCAGCCACATGAATCACCTGCTGTGTGCTATGAGGGATTGTTCTCTTGATCAGTTTAGACATCACCCCAATCTGTCAATATTGCCCAGTTTATTAATCCCCTCCAGTCAGTGCCCCTGTGGGGAGCCCCCTGGTATGACAGACTGACGTCTACCTCAATAACACTTTATATCTGATCATTTGTGCAAATAAAACACTACCATGCAGAAAACTGGATCCTGCCCTGTCTTTATGTTGCTCCCTGTTGGCTAAGCATGCAGCCAAGGCAGAGTGACTGATACAGGGGGCAGGAGAAGGGAAGGAACCTTTTGCTTCACAAACAAAGGAACTGCAATGCTGGCTCAGGCACATGGGTCCAGCAGTGGCTGTTTTAGAGGACAGTGCATGAATGATCACATCCAGGTTCATCTACTTTCTCGCAGGGATAAGGTTGAGCTCCAAACCTACCACATCCTGGTCCCTGAGTCAATCCTTTCTTGGATGCTGTCTGCAATTGACCTTATGTCTATGAGACCTCCATGTGCACAAGCAAACTTATGGGAAATCCTATAGGGGAAGGCCTGACCACCCCTGAACTCAATGACAAATAGCCCATTGATTGCAAGGACAGACTTTCACCCATAGCTTCCAAATTAAACATTTATTTGTTCCATTTCTAATATGGTGTTCCCAGACTCCAGCATGCTGCAATCTCCCAGCTAAACAGAGCCAGCACTTGGAAGGAGCCCCATCAAAGAACACTCAGGCTTGTAGAATAGGTCAGATGTGAGAGAAGCTATTGAGGGAAAGCGTACAATCTGGAAGCAGGCTCTGTGTGAGAGTTACAGGAGAAGGCAGAGCACAAGGGAAAGAATGTGGAGATCACCTGTGATCAGGAAGGGAAAATTTTGCAGTGGAAAGATTAGAGAAAAAGCAGAACTTAGTAAGACCTGGTAAAGAAAAGCAGGTTGAGGGGGTGGGGGAGGGCAGAAAGAAGAGTCACCCAGGTCTGCAGACTACATGAGGCTTGGGTGGAGAGAATGAAGAAATGGTTGGTGTGTGTTCAAAGGACTGATGGAGACAGGGCTGGTTGGAAGCAATGGGACCATCTTTTAATCCAACCCCTGCATAGTTCCAGGACTGATTGACCTAAAGTATTCCATAGAGATATCTATCATTCCTCATCTTAAAAAACACAGCTGCAAAAGTGGCCCAGCTGTACAAGCATTTGGGCTGATCCAGTGTGTGCTTGAATTTGGAAAAAAATGTTCATAGTTGATCAAGCTTCCTTTTGCAGTTGACCTTGATTCAGTTTTATGTCACCCTCATGCAGCAGATTTGCTCAGAGGCAGGTCACACATGCCTACCTAAAAAAAAAAGACTGGAGCAGCGGAGGAGAACAGTGCCAGAGTAGAATTTATCTGGGATATTAACATTGCAAGAGTAAAATGATCAAAAATATTTGTTATTCACAGTGATATGAGCATTTATTAAGGACAAAAATGCCTTAGTGCTGAGCTTGTTGGTGAGCTATGCATGACAGCCTTTTCTCAAAGAAAATCATTTTGAAGCTCCAACAGGACAACTCCATTTTCCAGATCTGGCAGCACTTCTGAGGGCTGGGAGGTTGTTAGTGGGGTGTAGCAGGGGACTCCTATACCTACTACTAGAAGGAAGAAAAGAGCAGTGTTACAGAAGGCAGGTTAGGGAATGCAGCCTGGAGAAAGGTGAGCTGCTGGATTCCACACAGCTAATGAGGGGCTTGACAGCCCTTTTGCTGGTTTAGATAATTGGCAGCATTTGGGTCTTGTTTTTCCAGGGAGTCCAAATTAGGTGACCAAAAGGGAGAGGAATCAAGGGCCATATAAACCTGAGCCTGGGGCAGAAGGCTTAGTCCAGTCCAGATCCCCATGAGTATAGGAATTCTGCAGCGAGCTGTATACAGAGATACACTATATTTTGCTTCTGATTTGGGGTTGTGGTTAGTGTGAGCTTTGGGGTGGTTTGAAAGGGGGGAGGAGGCCACAGGTGGGCTGCCTGGTATGCACTATGTGTTATGAGGGGCTAAAGCCCAGGTAGACCCAAAAAAAGATCTGGGACCTGGTGGGTTGTGAGGGGCCTGGGGAAGGGGGCTAAAGTCTGGAGGAGGAGGAAGCACAGATGAGAGCAAAACAGGCCCAGGAGGCTGAAGCTGGGACAGAGCCAGGGGCCCAGCAGGAGCAAGAGGGGTGAAAGTCTGGGAGAGGCTGAAGTTCAGACCAGAGCAAGACAAGGCCAGCAGCTGAGACCACAATGAGAAGGCAAGGAGAGAGACCTGGTTCTGCTCAGGCCAGGGTGTGAGGATGGGGCAGGCTGGCAGCCTGACAATGAGCAAGGCACCAAAGGCCGAGCTCTGGTTCTCTGTGGGCAGCCTCTTAGAACACCCATTAATGGGACATAGTGGTGTGGCAGGAGAGAGGGCAAGGCCCCACTGGGGAGCTGTCTGGGCAGGCATGGTGCCACTTCTTCCCATGATGTGATGAGCCCATTACAGCAGGAAGCAGACATTCATCATCACCTGGGCTGTGGATCCTGTGGCAGCCAGCAGATGCCTGGGAGAGGAGGAGGCAGAGCTGAGGTGAACAATGCAGGGTGGGAAACCATATCTGGAATATGTGGGGAGGAGGGGCTGCAGTGCTGCCCTTGAGGTACCAGACAGATTTTGAATCAGTGCCTCCATGGAGATGAACCTGAAGTTGGTTTCTTATTGCCAATTCCTTATGCCTGGTTCCTGATTCCTTTTTCAAAGATACAGCACTTCTAATAGTCTTTAATTGTGTAAGGATTAGCAACAAAATTTGGCGCTTGGGCTAAGGCCTGCAGTGGCAGCCTGCCGTCACCCCATGCACAGATCTGGGGGGCACATGCCCCCCCATGCATGCCTGGGAGTGCATGCTGTGGCAGGAGCCACCCCTTCCCCCATCCCCACGCCCCCACAAATGAGCCATTTGTGGCTCATTCCCATGTCCTGCTCTGACTGGGCAACTCCTTTGCTTTGGCACCTGGGGGGGTGACCCCCTTCCCCCCCCCCCCCCCTTCCACCCCCTTGCTACAGCACTGAGTGTGGTTAATAAATTACACAAGCTAAAGAGCTAGGATTTAATCAAAAATGCATATTTACTAATAAAAATGTAAAACAACACCATGTATCAAATACATAGCCCTGAAAAAAGACCTGAGATTAGGCTGGAATTATGGGAATCCCTTTTGGATCACTTCAAAACATGTCTACACCACCAGGGGATTCTTCTGACTGAATAAGTCTGAGCAGTGTGCTGCCCCATCCAAAGCTTGGTTTTTGAGTGCCAGTCAGCCCACCAATGGACGCCCCCCCCACACACACACCAGGCCTGTGTGCAATGTATATAACACTAAATAAGGAACTATGTTTGGACTAGATTATGCATGGAAATCTTTTTCTGGTCACCCCAAAACGCAAGAATCTGCCACCAGGAGAATCTTCCAAAGAGGTCTGGCCAAACTCCAGCCTGACCTGAAGCTGGTTTGAGAGTGCCAGGCTACCAACTCACAGGCCCCCAGCCCTTAATAAGGCGCTGGGCTGGGGGTGTGATTACGGGTGGAAATCCTTTTTGGGTCACCCCAAAACATTCTCCCCAGAAAGTCTGGGCAGAGTCTAGCCTGACCCCAAGCTTGGTTTGAGTGCTAGGCTGCCAACTCATGGGCTCCCAGGGCCTGAATAAGGAGTTTGGTTTAGACTGTGATTATAGGTGGAAATTCTTTTCAGATCACCCCAAAGTACACATCCCTGACATTGGGGGACTTTCCTGAAGAAGCCTGGTTAGCATCCTGCCTGACCCAAAGCTTGGTTTGTTAGTACTAGGCTGCCAACTCAGGACCCCAGTCCTGAATAAGGAGCTGGGTTTCATCTGGGATTGCAGGTGGAAAAACACATCTCTGGCATTGGAGGACTCTAGCCAAGAAGTCTGGGAAGAGTCCAGCCTGACCTGAAGCTTGGCCTCTGTGCACCAGGCTGCCAACTCACAGGCTCCCAGCCCTGATTAAGGAGCTTGGTTTCAGCTGTGATTATGGGTAGAAATTAGAGGTGCACTGATACATGGGTCACATCAGATCAGCACCGATACAAGAAAAATTGACAGTATCGGCCAATTGGCTTTTTTTGGCTGATGTTGCTGATAATGTCGCTGATAAATGCCCTGTGCGTGTGCAGCCAGAGCTCAGCTTTCAGGCGACCAGGAGCGCAGCCAGGTCCAGCTGATAATTCTGGGAGTGGGGCTGGGGCTGGGGCAGGGCAGGCGCTGCACAGCTGGGGCGAGGTGAAGGAGGGAGCTGCGGGAAGGAGGGGGGTGGCTCCCACTGTTGCACGCACCCTGCAAGGGCATGGGAGGTGCGTACCCCCAGATCTGCATGCAGGGCGAGGGCGTGCTGGGGCCGGGGGTGGTGCTGGGCTCTTCCCAACAGGGGGCTGGCCTGGGGCTGCACTTGGTGTGGGCAGCAGTGGCACTGGGAGGGGGTCTATGGTGAATTTTGGGGTGGCTGCAGCCCCTCCCAGCACTGCTGCTGCCCACCCCGAGCGAAGCCCAGCCCAGCCTCCTGCCAGGAAGAGCTTGGCACCGGCCCCAACCCGCAGCTGCAGCCCGCCCTCGCCCTGCATGCACATCTGGGGGCACACGAAAATGCGGGAGCACACCTCCCTGTGTGCGTGTAGTGGCAGGGGCCCAACCCCCCCCCCCCCCCCCCCGCCACTCCCAGCGGGGCAGGCCCTGCCCCAGCCTCACTCCCTCCCTCACCGTGGGGCCTCGATCTACCTTTCTTCCTCGCTCCTTCCCGCACAACAGACTTACCAGCCAGACCCTGCTCTCCAAGGTGTCCGGCTACATATCAGCAATTGGATCAGTAACAGCTGATATGGCTCATTAAAAATCAGCCATTGGTATCTGCCCAAAACCTCTGGTGCACCCCTAGTAGAAATCCTCTTTGGTCATCCCAAAAGATGTCTCTGGCATTGGGGGACTCTCCTGAAGAAGTCTGGTCAGAGTCTTGCCTGACCCAAAGCTTGGTTTCTGCATGCCAGGCTGCCCGCTTACAGGACCTCTGACCTGTGTGCTCTATACAGAACATGGAGCAAGATTTGGACCGGGATTATGGGTGCAAATCCTCTATGGGTCACCCCATGGCACACATTCCTGCCATTAGGGGACTCTCCTGAAGAAGTCTGAGAAGAGTCCAGCCTGAATTGAAGCTTGGTTTGTGAGTGCCAACCTGACAACAGACAGGCCCCATGCCAATGTGCTCTGTACCTAGCCCCAAATATACAGCCAAATTTGGGCTGGGATGATCAGGTAAAATCCTCTCCTGGTCATGCCAGCGCACACGTCAGCCCCACGTGCAGACTCGCCTGAAGAATTCTGGGATGCCCCTGCCCGGCCCAAAGCTCCGTTTTTGCGTGCCAGCCTCAACTGATGCCCCCCAGAGCTGCGTACTAGTTACACAGCACCCAGTGAGAAGGTTTGGGGCTGAGGTCTTCAGTAAAAATCCCTTTTGGGTCACCCCAAACCAGGTCTGCCACCAGAGGATTGCTGAGGAAGTCTGGGCAGGGTCCGGCCTAACCCAAAGACATGTCTGATACCACGCAGTGCTGGATGCGGAGCCCGAAAATACTTTTGCCCCATAATCCCAGCCGAGTCTCAGGTCATTTTTCAAGGCTCGATGCATGGTTTTATTTGACATATACGTGTGATGAAACCCCAACCCTCAGCCTGTGCAATTCATCACCGACAGCCTGTGCGCGCCGATTAGCTTTGAAACAGGAACCTTCAGCCCCAAGCCACGTG